GGGGACCGTGGGGTGGGAGAGGCCTGGGGAGCACTGAGCCTCAGCAGCCTGTCTGCGCCTCTGCGGGCCCGAGGGCTTGACCTTTTCCAGGGAGCTTGAGGATGGAGCCCTCCGCTGGCTCCTGGGCCTGGGCCTGGTCCTGGTCCTGGTCCTGGTCCTTGAGCATCCTCTCTGACGTTAGGCCAGCTCCCCGCCCTCTGCTCCGGGCTGGCAGGGGTCAGAAGCTGCCAACCCCTCAGCTAAAAAGCCCCACCGTCCAAGTGTGTGCAGGGCAGGCTGTGGGTCGGACTGAAACGGAGACGGCCGGGCCTGCAGGTGTGGCTGCCCTGCCCTGCTCAGGCCAGGCTGGGAGGCCGGAGGGGACGGGCTGCCCCGGGGAGGGGGGTGAGACGCTGCACTGATCTGCCTGAGGACACGGGGCAGAGTGAGGAATGGCCGTGCCCTTGGCCCTTGTGTCGGGAATGTCGGGGTTCCTGGTTCCACCAGCTGGATAAGTGACTCCTGCGTGGGCAACGTGGGCGAGGAGGTGAGAGGCAGCTGGAGGTACAGACGGGCACCGACGGCTCCTCGGTGGGAGGGAGGCTTGCTAGGGATTCTGCTCTAACATTGCCCTGAATCTGTTGGGCCCGACAGCTGAGCCTGTGGTTCTCAAAGGGCAGCAGGGTCTCCTGGGGAGGAAGCCACACGACTTCCCTCCTGCTCCCGAGCTCATGAGGCCTCCCCCTCAGACAGCCCTGCTCCTGCCCTCATTCCCCGGCGGCCAGAGGGGCTCTGGTTCAGACCGAAGCCCTGAGAAACTCGTATGGATTCCGAGATGCTGATAGAATTCCCTCCCTATGCCCTGCCTCAGATTGAGCTCACTGATGACGAAAACTTACCCCCCGAGGAACCTCGCAGGCAACGCTGAAGTGCCCCACATGATCCCATTTCCTACTGGCATGGAAACAATCTAATTTCCTTTATATCTGAGCCATTTTTAATGGATATACTGTGGTATCCCACCGTGGTTTAAGTTTTGCTTTTCCCTAATAAATAATGACGTTGAGCTACTCTTCATGTGTTTAGTAGTCACTTGTAGGTCTTTCATGAAGTGCCGTTTCAGCGTTTTGACTCTTTTTGTTGGGTTGCTTGTCTTTATTGAGTTGTAGAACATCTTGTATTCTGATATGAGTCCTTCGTCAGATAGTGTGTTGAAAATGTTCTTTTCCTAAGCCTGTGACTTTTAAAAACTGCCGCCTTTCGATGAGCAGTTTGGTTTGGATGAAGCCCAGTCCATCAACGTCTTACACGCCCTCCTGTCTCTCAAGCCCTCGTCAACTCCACGGTCACCAAGTAACTCCCGTGGTTTTTCTTCTGTAAGCTTTATAGTTTTAGCTTTTGTTTTTATTTAGCCCTATGATCTTAAATTTTTTCTTCTATGATGTTAGATAGGGTCAAGTTTTTTCCCACTGAAAAGTGTATACTTCCTTTCTGCATTGAATTCTCTTGGTGTGTTAAAGAAATCAATAGCCTGTGTAAATGTGCGTCTATTTCTGGCTTCCGTATTCTGTTTCATTGATCCGTTTTGTCTCTTCTTGCACTAAAACCATGTTGTCTTGGTTACTGTAGCTTTATAGTTTTTCAAGACCGTAAACCGTTGTCTTGAAACCAGGTGATGTAAGTCCTTCAATTTTGCATCTCTACGTCAGGAGTTTCCCAACTGTTTATTGATGTTCAGAAATGGATTTTTGTATATTGCCCATGTGTCTTTCAATGTCGGTGCTTTTTATTTTTAAACAGCTTTATTGTGATTTAAAGTGTACGATTCAGTGGTTTTTAGTATATTTACAGGTATGTGCAAGCAACACCGTGGGTACCTTGCATGCTTTCTAGATTCCGTCTTCTAATAGTTTTTGGGTAGTCGTCTTTGGGAGTGTTTTTAGGAACATAATCAGACTGTCTGAATCACTTTTTAAAAAACTTTAGGCATTTTATTTCACTTGCCTTTCTGCACCGGTTAGGACCTTCAGTAAACTGTTACACAGAAGTGGTAAGAGCAGGCCTTTTGGTTTTACTTCCGCATCTTTATTTTTTTAATGTTATTGTCTCTGAGTGTAGAATTCTAGGTTGGCTCGCCCCCATTTTTTAAAGCACTTTACAGTGTTATTCCATTTTCTTCTGGCTTTCGTTTATTTCCGATGACATGTTCTCTCTCATGTTAATTTTTCTTCACCTAAATGTAATGCAATCTTTTTATCTGGTTTTATAAGATTTTTAAAAATCTTTGCCTTAGTCGGTTTGGCTCAGTGGTTAGAGCGTCGGCTCGCAGACTGAAGGGCCCCAGGTTCGATTCTGGCCAAGGGCATGATCCCCTTGCCTTGGTCCGGGCACGTGCGGGAGGCAACCAATCAATGTGTCTCTCACATCGATGTTTCTCTCTCTCTCTCTGTCTCTCCCTTCCACTCTCTCTGAAAAGGAATGGAAAATATATCTTTGAGTGAGGGTAAAAAATATATATATATTTTATTCAATTTCACTGTTGTCTTCCATGTGGTCTTATTTGTATTTATCATGTTTGTATAACTTTTGACTTGTCTTTGAGCTTAATAACCCTGTTTTTTGTTACCCTATCTGGTCATTTATTTTGGATGTTGTATTTTTCAGTTTTAGGATTCCTACTTCGTTTTTGTTCTGTTTTTTAGGCATAACAATTGTCTGCTGAAATCTTCCTTTTTACCACACATTTTGTCTGTCTTTTCCTCTAAATTCTTTGTTCATTGTATCCTTACATTAGTTATTTTAAATTCTTGTCTGCCGATTCCAACCCGAGTCACATACGATCCGTGTCTGCTGATTTTTCCCTCTTGATTACAGGTCACATTTTCTGCTTCCTGTGTCCCGTTTTAAAATTCGGTGCCAAACACTGGTTAAAAGCAGTGGAGACCGAGGGTTGGGACTGGGTTTCACTTTAGTTTCTCATCTACCTCAGTTTCAAATGTTTTCAGGGGACAGGAGCAGGCAGAGGTGGGGAGTCCCCACTAGGGTCTCAGGTCTTGTGCTTGGTGTCTTTTGCATCGTAGGCGGAGGCCGGAGGAGCCCTGACTCGGAGGTGTCTGGCCCTTGTCTCCTAGTGTTAAGAACAGAGCTAAGAACTTCTGTAGAGGTTGCCCTTCCCTTACCTGGTTGCGGCCTGAGTCCCTCGGGCAGGATGACAGGAGAGCACTTGAGCCCATTGGAACCTGAGAGGGGGCCCCAGCTGGTCCTGGGGGCCTCAGAGTTCCCTGGGCATTGTAGGGATGGGTAAGCCATTCACTCTTGCCTCTTAAGGTAACCATTGGCGGCAGTTTGGTGTATATACCTTTCTCCCCCTTTATGTGCATTTACAACATACAGGTATAATTACGTAGCTTGATGGTTTTATTTACTTAAGTGAGGTCATAACGATCTCCAGCTTTTTCACTTATAAATACATCTTGGATACACTTCATCAGTATGCCTAGGTCAAATTCATTACTTTTTAACAGTTACATAGTATTCTATAGTGGGAATGGACTGGAAACCACTAAAGGAATCCCCAGTTTTACCAACGGGATATTACCATTGGGGATATTTATACACCAGAACTTCTGGTGTCTTTTGTAGTCAAGGCTTTGGCCATTTCCAGCAGAAAAGAATGGAGAGACTTTTGTCTTTTCCTCAGAGGGGTCTCAACTATTGGGAGCCATCCTGGTTCCTGAGTCATAGCTGCCCTTGTGACATCATAGGCCTCCCCTCTTCACTCTTGCTCTCCATGCCATGACTAGAGTAACACAGACCTGAGGGGATTTGAACCATCTACACCCAATCCATGTGGGATCAATGGTAAGAGACAGACACGCAGGCTTTTTAGGGTTATCCCTGTAGATCTCTCAGGGTGAGGGGACCCCCTGACATCTGAATACACTGGGAAGCCCTAGAAGCTGGGGATGTGTGGGATACTGAGTGGAGAGGGAGGGAGAGTAGCCTCACGCTTGCCTTTCCCCTAGGAGACGAAACAGCCAGAAAAGATTAATGAACAGGCCAAAGATGAGCCTCAGCAGAAAGGGGAGCCAGCGGGTTCACCCTCCGCACCAGCAGCGCTGACCTCAGAGAAGAAGGCAGAGGTAGGAGGTGCCTGGCCCTTGGGGCTTGTGTGTCCTGCATGGGCCAGGGCTCCGCAGGAACAAACTCACTCGTGTCTGTCCTCTCTCCCCATTTCTCTCAGGCTAACAGCGCCAATAAGGTTGAGACAAAGAGCGTGGATGATGCTAATAAGGGACCCAGAGAAGTATGGCTCTCCCCGGGGCACAGGGCCGGGGCTGGAATGTGGGCTGTGTTTGTGGAATGAGTGGCCAACGTGGGAGAAGCCGGGCTTCGTTCCCAGTGCGTGTGCTTGAGCTTGGGCACGTATGTTTGCTTGTTAATTAGATTTAAAAAAAAAAATAATTGACTTCAGAGAGAGAGGGAGAGGGAGAGAAACATCAATGATGAGAGTCATTGATCCGTTGCCTCCTGCACGCCCCCTGCGGGGGATCCAGCCCACAGTCCAGGCATGTGTCCTGACCCGGAATCGCACCCTGACCTTCTGGTTCTTGGGTTGATGCTCAACCACTGAGCCATGCGGGCCGGGCTGCTTGTTAATTTAGATTTAACTTGGGAAAGTGAAGAGAAACGAAGATGGGAGCAGTAGGGCTTGAGGGGTGGAGGGGGCGTCAGACCTGCCGCATGCAGGGGAAGAGCATGTGCTGGGGGTCTGAAGGGAAGGGTCACGGGCCCTGGTTAGGTAAACGTGGTCATCCTCTGACCCGTAGGTCATGGTGTTCTTACCCTAGGATGGCCAAGTGGATCCATAGAAAGCTGGGCAGCCAGGGCAGATGTCACCCCATTTCATAGATGGAGACCCCGAGCTTCCGAGGTCACTGTGTCCGTGTCCCTTAACCAGGGGGAGACAGAGACAGGACAGTTACCGGGCCTTCGGGCTCCGGCCAGTGTCCCGCCCAGTGTTCCTGCTGTCCCGAAGGGGCAGTTGTCCGTAGGGAGCTAGGGTCCCTTCTTGGCGAACCCGGGTCTGGAGTGGGTGGAGGACCGCGCTCTGAGGGCCTCTCTTTTTTTCTCGCAAGATCCCAAGAACCCTGAAGAGAGCCCCCCCCAGCCACCCCGAGGCGGTGCGGATCCAGGCGTGGTGGCGGGGCGTCCTGGTGCGCCGGATGCTGCTGCACGCGGCCCTCCGGGCCCTGACCATCCAGCGCTGGTGGCGGCAGGTGCTGGCGCGG